TAAATCAGAGATTTTGAATCTTTGGTTTTGTCTCCACACTGTTCACATGCATGGAATATTTCCATTGCCTATCCATCCATTAGCCATCCATGCAACAAGTATTAGTTGTTTTCTGTGTCTCATGTGCTAGGAATATAGCCGAGAACAAGACAATCATGGTCTTTGTTTGCATGGAGCTTAGAGTCTACTGGGGAACATTAAAGAAAAATAAATTAATGAGATAATTACACATTGAGATCTTTTCATTATGCAGATCTAGCTCTGTCCCTCCCTGTGTTAAAAGCTTCAGTGGCTTTATATCATTTCTGAATAAAGTGTAAGACCCTTTTACATGACATGTGAGGCTCTGGGATCTGGCCTCTGCCTGCCTTTCTAAGCTCATCTCTCTTCCCTCCCTGCTTCCATTTTATTGTCATTTAACACTGAACTGTATATGGATCCCTGTACTTTTCTCATTTGCCTCTGTACCCCTGCAAATGCTGCCCTTCTACCTGAAATGTTCTTCTTATTTGCTTGCTTAACTAGTTTTCATCCTTTAAAAGCAGCTAATGTTACCACTTTCTCTGAGGAGCATTCCCTGATACTCCACCTTTACCCCCTAAGTTTAGTTAGATATCTTCCCTTAGTACTCTCATGATGTCCTGTCCTCATTTCTTATCCCTGGACTTGGGTATTATCTTACAATTGCCTGTGTCTGCATCTTCATTATATTGGGAGCTCCTTAAGGATAAGATATTTTTATTCTTATATCTTAGAACAGTGCTTGGCACATGATTGTTATGCCGTCATTTACATCAAACAAATGAGCTGCTGACTTGCTAGCAGTCCATTATCTTATTAGACTAAACACAAGTCTAAGGCAGTATAGTAGAGATGAAGAAAAGAAGCTAGTTTCAAGAAATCTTTATAAGGTAGAATCAAAATTGAGTAGCAGATTAGATATGGGAAGAAAGTTTCTAAGCTAGGGAACCTGACTGCTGGTCATGTCATTACATGAGATAGGTATTCCAAGGGGTGAAATAGGTAAGGAGTCATGATGAACTCAGTTTGGGGTATGCTAGGTTTATTTATTTTATAAAAAGATTTTATTTATTCATTTGAGACAGAGAGATAGAGAGAGCATGAGCAGGCAGAGAGGCAGAGGGAAAGGGAGAAGCAGACTACCCGCTGAGCCAGAAGCCAGATGTGGGGCTTGATCCCAGGACCCGGAGATCATGACCTGAGCCAAAGGCAGACACTTAACCATCTGAGCCACCCAGGTGCCCCAGGGGTATGCTAGGTTTAAAAAGGGTTTGGAGTCTATCCAGAAACACATTGAGAAACACAAAAAGAAATAGATAAGACACAGTTAAAAATATGGATACAGAGCTTGGGATTGGTCAGAACACAGAATCATAGATTTGGAGTTATCTATCTGTTACTGTATTTGAAACTATTGGAGTGGATTTATACCCAAGAAAAATGAATGATAAGCATTTGGAATCGTTTTATTGAAGAGGTGACATTTGAACTAATGTGTTTTAGAAAGCATGGAAGGGCATAGTGAATAGAGAGAATTATTTTGTTTCCTTTAATGATTGGGGATCTTCAATTTTTCTTAATTATGTATTATTATTTCATGTGATTGCTGCATTTCTTATCATACAGTTAGTTGGGATATTCTGAAAATCATAGACATTGGATACTTGTTATAATGTTATATTTCTCTTCTGGGCCAAATTCCAGATAAAGAGTTTTCATCTTGCTGAGCATTTTCTTCCTTATCATTTTGCTGTATATGTCCTCATATCATTGAACCAAGAATTGAATAACTGTTGTGATTTTTGATTTGGAAAACTCACCTCTAGAAATGTTCTGTCTGGACTCAGTGATTCTTACGATCAGCCTGGTCCTTGTGTCTCTGTAATTGAGAACTCCTATCGTGTTCCTCCTCAGTTTACTATTTATGAAGCTCAGCAAGGCCCTCAACTAAATCCAGAATACTGTTAATCTTTAATGGCTTCCTCAGGTTTATGTGGAAGGGTGTTTTAATGTCTCTGGCAGTACTGTTTCATTGTGCTATTTTCCATTACTTAAGTGTCACCTAATTTTTTATATTAATCTTTATAATACAAAGTCTAAGTCTCGGTCCCAAATTAATATTCCTTTCTTCATTTTTCTCCTAATTAGGCCTAATATATGATAGTAAGTCAAGTATCTGGGGGGAAAACAAACCTTATTCCTTACTTAAACATGCTTTGGTTTGAACAGCCTTGCTCAGGCCTAGAGCCTTAGTACTTCAGAGTAAGACTATCAGGTGAGTTGTTACCATCATCTACCAGATTGGGCATATGTGACCATCACATCAATTTCTGCAGAAATCACCTTTTTTTTTTTTTTTTTGTAGCAGTAGCTCTTGACTTTTCTCTACCTAGCACAGCCTAAAACTACAACAGTAACAGTGGCATGCTCGACAGTGATTTTTCCCCGGGATTTGGGAGTTTATCAGAATCTCCAGGGGTACTTATAATTTGAAAAAGTCCCCCAGGTGTGATTCTGATTTGCTCCCTCTTCCTCCTCCTTCTCCTCCTCCTCCTCTTCTGAGAATCACTGTTTCATCTAGAAAGCTTCAGCATAAGTAGGCACATTTATTGGTATATTGACCTATATACTCCCTAATCCTCCTACACCCTTACCTCCCTTTTGAGTGGTACTAGTAGTTCTTTCTAATGCCATAACTTCTGAAACCAGTTTCTACCTGTCACCAAGGGTGTAGCTACCACCAAAGCAGCCCTGTTAGTGTTTGGAAGCCTACAAAACAAGATCTCCAGTAGCTTGAGGGCCAGATTTAATGGTGTGGTTTATTTAAATGGGAGTCCTTTGCGAAGACTTAGACTGAGAGTCCAGGATTTATACTAACACCACCCCCCCCACCAATTTTATTCCAACATTTTATGATGAAAATTTTCAAATCTACACCAATGTTGAAAGAATTCCAGGATGAATATTTGTATATCCACAACCCAGATTCTATAATTAACATCTTAATATATTACTTGCTTAATCATGTTTCTACCCAAATATTTATTCCTCTATCCATCTGTTCACCTTTCTTAAGAATTTCACTAAGTAAATTCCAGATATCAATACAATTTCCCCTAAATACCTTGGCATGCCTATCATTAAGAGTTTAATATTTATTTATAGCCTTTCCTTTTGAAGTAAAATTTACATACAGTGAAGTGCCCAAATCTTAAGTGTTCAGTAGCTGAGTTTTGATAAATGACAAATCTGAATAACACAAATCCCTATCAAGATATAGATTATAACACCCTCTTTTTTTCTGCCCAGATTATTCCCTCTTGACTTCTATAGTTTCTGACTTAAAGGTAAGAAAAAGGCTTGTCAGTGCTTCCAGGACAAATAGGGATCAGTGTTTAATGATGGATCAGCAGATTTCTCTTCTCCATTGCCTAAAGTACCTTGTGTTTTAAATTGTATGTGAATGTATTAAAACAGGATACTGAGTAAGTAACTTATCTTTTCAGTTTTTAAATAATTATTTTGGAAAATACTATATCTAGGTATAAATACCTTATATCTGTTCAGTTAAGTATTTTATAAGGCAAAAGCTCTAGTTTAATGAAATGTGAGGACATATGCATAGAAACAACTGGGGAAGAGAAAGGAATTGGAGGTGAGATGGGAAAAAAATCACATAAATAATAATGTAATATAGCATGTATTAATATGTGGCTAATTGGTTAAAACATGTATTATGTATATCTAACATTATGAAGTATCACAGTCTGTCCTGACAACAGTGGCATGTCATTTATTCAAGAATGAACATATCATAATCTGCCTTTAGGAAATACACATTAAATTTCTCTTACTGTCAGTCTTGGGTGTTCATCATTTTGTTTTATGCCTGGTAAATATCTCTTAATTGGCTTATTTTTAGAGTGATATAGCATATTTTAATTTATATCAGTATATTTAAAATATGGTATAAGTTTGAAATTATTTACTTGCATTTTATGAGGAGTAACATACAAATGTATTTCTAATAAAATAATTCTGATCCCAAAAGGAGAAGCTGTGACAAAAGTAAATTGTGATATTTTCATAATAAAAAGCCATACAGCCATTTGCATATCATTCCTGAGATATTACATACTGGCTTTGTCAGTACTGTTAAGTCCATTTCAAGGATGTTGCCCTTAGTCCATTAGTTTGGATAATGAGCCCTATAAAGTACATTTATAACTTGTGGCACTGCAAGGAGATGGATTCTAATTTTCATCCTTTTATCTAGACACATTGAAAGAAGGTCAGTGGAGGGTTCTATATGATTCATTGTCCCAACACATATCACGTGACAAAGACCTGATAATGTCCATGCATAAGTGTTTTCCTTATTTAGAAATAGCACTTGAAAGAAATCTTTTTTGATCATCCTTTGAAGTAAAGTAGAAACATACTAAAAGAAGCTTTATCCCTCTTTTTTTGTTTGTTTAAAGCGTTATCACATGTGTGACCAGATAGCTATTCTTGAACAAAAGAGAAAGCAACACTTAACAAAAATAAAAAGGCTTTAGTGACTTTTACAGACTGTGAATGATATAACAAGATATTTAATCAACTTTTCTCTCCTTTTCTTAGATCTATTAAGGGGAAAAAAGCCTTTTCTAAACAAAAGAAAAGCTTCTATATTCCTAAACATTAGAAAGCTTATGCTTATACTGTAATACTTACACTAACATTATTCTTATTAATGGTATTCAAAATAAATACTTAAATTCTATTCTATGTTTATAGTTTAAAGATTTCAAAGAAGCAACAAGAATATATATTCTGTAATTTAGTGTCAGTTTTATGTCAAAATGTGAAATTGTATACTGTTTTAAATTGTCTTCTAAGAAATTGGTTTCAGATGCAAAATTGTAGCTGATGAAGTTTATTTTTCAATTGTGTAATCATTAATGAGAGCTTTTTTGCTATGTTTATCTTCTTTGTAGATGTAAAGCAATCATAGATCAGTTTGGTCAGAGAATAATCTCTAAGCATTTCCTTGTGGAGGACAGTTACTTTTCTGAGAACACATGCACACATGTACAATACCGGTAAGGCACCCCTCCACCCACTGTCTAAGGGAAGGTGAAACATTGGAAAATTTATCTGTGTGATTATATTGACACTTCTGTATGACTGTGTTCTTCAAGTTAGATACAAATGTGTACCAAACCAAAGATATATCCAGTATATCCACTGAGTCTGGTTGTAGGGGAGTCCAGTCTAATTTTGACTCCTTTGTATCAGCTGGGGGTTGGTCTGCAGGTCACATGTCCTCCTTTCCCTTTTTTTTTTTATTAAGATTTTATTTATTTGAGAGAGAGAGAGAGCACGAGTGGGGTGGGGGCAGAGGGGGAGGGAGAAACAGACTCCCCGCTGAGTAGGGAGCCCCATGCAAGATCATGACCTGAGCTGAAGGCAGACTCTTAACCAACTGAGCCACCCAGATGCCCCCACAATATTCTCCCTTCGATGACCCAAGAAAAGATTAGAGTTTGACTTGGCTTGAGGAGGCAACACTTTTATCATGACTTAAATCTTTGAAATATGGTAGTTATATAACTATAAATGAAACTTATTTGTGGAATCTGAATCACTGATTAACTGTTTTGTGCATTACAGGCAGATTTCCAGGTCAGTCCTGATTACAGACAGATCTGTACTAAAAATGGATTCAGATCAACAGGTAATTTTAGTCCTGTACTTTTTAATAAATGTTGCTAACCTAATCTACATGGTATTATGTATAAATTAATATTGGTGAAATAAAATGTATTAAGCCATATGTGCTAATGTATTTAGTGCATTTTTTAAAAAATACATAATGTCAATTCTGTAATAATTTTGGTTTCTTAAAGATTTCCTTCCAGCAGGATAAATAATTACATCTTATATAATATTTTTATTCTGTGGAAATTGGACTAAATCCTAGTTTTTGACAGTTATTCTATGAAATTGAAAATATATTGTTATGGGGAGAAAAAGAGAATCCCCAGAGAATACATTTAAAACTCTTGGAGGAAAAGGCTTTATGGTAACCAACCCTAGAACAGTGGTGGTAAGCTTACCATTAGGCCTGGTGTGAATGAGTATCGCACACACTTCTGGTTCTAATGTTTCCTCATCACCATTGTTCCTTTCAGTACCCTCTTCCTTCTCCTCACTGCCAATTCTATAGGAATGTCTTTATGCCTATGGTTTTTCCTCAGTCTGAACTCTTAAATTCCAAGAAGTATGCCCCTTCTTCTGATTACACAGTGACTGATAAAATCAGCTTACTTAGTATGACTCTCAGACCTTTTCTATATGCTACTGCTAAAAATAGGTTCCAAACATTCCTTAAGTTAGAAGCTTTCTGATATATAAAACAAATGTTTGCTATGCATATGAGCATAAATACTTTAATTAATAAATACTGAATGATTATTCAGTAAACAATGAGTGTCTTTTACATGCCATCCAGTGTGCTGAGATCTGAAGACAGTGCTAAAACCATGATAGCATCTCTGCCCTTATAGTTTGCAGTCTGGAAGATATAGATATAGACAGATAAATAGTAGCTATTTAAGTTAAGCATGACAAGCGTGAGCAAGGACTGGTACAGCAGCTATTGTAGTGCTCATCACACTGTCCTATAATTACCAGTTAACTTGTCTGTATCTTCCAGTAAACTATAAGCTTTGTGAGTGTGTTGAAGAATGACAGGGAGGCATTAAATGAAGAGAGAAAATAGACAATTCTGTAGAAGCTGAGCTGTGAAGAGTAGGAAAGAGGAAGAGAGATGTGGAAGTGAAGAAGGCTTTTCTTTTCTTTAAAAGATTTGTGTATATTTCAGCTGATGCTGGAGCTAGTAGAGAGGGAAGGAAAGGTTGAAGATACCCAGGAGAAAAGGAAGACAATGCAGCAAGGTCCAGGTAAAGGCTGGGGAGGATGGGATTCAGAGAACAGGTAAAAAGCATTGCCCTTAGATGGGATGTGAGGCATCTTGAAATAAGAGGGTGAATGCAGGACTGTTGTAGGTCTGGGAGTTCCCATCTGATAGGATCCATTTACTTTTTTTTTTTTTTTAAGATTTTATTTATTTATTTGAGAGTGAGCAAGAGAGAGAGCACGAGCAGGGGAGGGGCAGAGGGAGAGGGAGAAGCAGACTACCTGCTGAGCAGGAAGCCCGACTCAGGGCTCCGTCCCAAGACCCTGGGATCAGGACCCGAGCCAAAGGCAGGCACTTAACTGACTGAGCCACCCTGGAGCCCCTCCATTTACTCTTTAAATTTCAAAGTGAGGTCATCTCCTGAGAATGAGGGTATAAGAGTGCTTAACAGGTCAAAGCTCAAAGACGGATATACAGTAATAACTGTGAGGAGTTGGAGAGTGACCTATCTCATGGTCAGATGGCTGCACAGCATCGATGGCCCAGTTGAGCCTGGAGGTTATGGGTATACAGTGGCATTAATCTGCCCCTATCCTTTCAGCTCTTCCATTCTCTTACCCTCACCCAGTCTGCTACAATTCCTTGTCCCCTCTTTTTCCTCCCAGTTTACCAACTTCCTTCTGCCCTCTTCCTTTTCCATGTCCTAGACCCCATGGTTAATCTTCTGAACTGCCCTTCCCCCAATACCTTCAATTCCCATGTAGCCATGTTCTACTGCACCCACAGAGGAAAATCCTGTCCCTGGATGAGGCTGTAATCTACATCTGGATTACAGAGGGATACTTGAGAAAACCACACAACCAGACAGACTGGCACAGCCACAGAGTTGGGGTTGCCAACCTCATTCATCTGGACCCTCTGCCTACTACCAGTTAGTTTTTCCACTGGCCTCAGATAGCTCCCTCTCCCTTTCCCCTCATTGCCTCATCCAAATCTTTACTATTTTACCCACCCTTCTCTCTTTTAGCTCTTTCACCTCACCCCCTGCTTCACTAAGAAAAGCAAGGCCACCTACTAAGCACAGTGACCCTGGAGCCCCTACCCCAGCACCCACAACTAATGCACAAGTACAGAGACTAATGAGGGGGCTCCCCTCCTTGTCCAAGGCCAGCAGCCCCTTTCACAAATGCTGTTGGCTCTCACGTGTGTACGTACGTACGTACACACACACACACACACACACACACACACACACGCACACCAGCCTGTATGCTCTCTCTCCTGTGTCTTCAGGCTTTCCCTGCTATTGGCACCTTCCCCTCAAACCTATACACATGTACTAGCATTTTCTGTTCCAAAACTAAAAATTAAAAAGCAAAACCAAGAAACAAAAAAAATTCTCCTTTGACTTTGCCCCCATCTCTAATTGTATCCAATCTCTCACCTGTTCTTGTCAGCATTTTTAAGACAGTATCTATACTTGCTGGGGCACCTGGGTGGCTCAGTCGGTTAAACGGCTGCCTTCAGCTCAGGTCACGATCCCAGGGTCCTGGGATCGAGCACCGCATTGGGCTCCTTGCTCAGTGGGGAGCCTGCTTCTCCCTCTCCCTTCTGCCTGCCTCTCTGCCTGCTTGTGCTCTCTATCTCTGTCAAATAAATAAATAAAATCTTTTAAAAAAAAGACAGTATCTATACTTGCTGCCTCCAGCTCCTTGCCTCTCATTCATTTCTAGACCCAGCTTCTATCTCCACATTTCTACCACAATTTTTCTTGCTAAGTTTATTAATAACTTTATAATGGTCAGGACCACAGGACATTTTTTTGGTTTTTGTCTTTTTTGGTACATTTAGCAATGTTGATTATTCCCTTTTTTGACTTCCATGACACTGCTTTCCTGGTTCTCCTCATAACTCTCTGAATATTCCCTCTCTGCTTCTTTTGTGGGCTCTGTCCTCCTCTTAAATGTTGGGGCTCCTCACGTTCTTGTTTCAGCCCACATTATCTCTTGCTCTGTGCACACTTGCTGCTTGACTCCATATACTCTCATGGTTCTAACTCTGCGTAAATGTTGGTGACAGCCATTTCTGTATCTCCCAGGAATGTTGGCCAAACTTCCTGCTGGACATCTATCTCAAAGGCCCCTCAAACTGAACATACTCCGAGCTGAACTCACCATCTTCCCTCTCAAAACTACTCATCCAGTGCTCCCTACCTTAATGAAAAGCATTGACATCCTTCCAACTAACAACTTCCTCCCATCTCTGGTATCTCCTGAGCCTCCAGGTCCTCTCATTGTACTTTCTAGAAGTTGCTACAATCTGCTTTTCCTCTCAGTCCTTATTTTCACTGCTCTGGTTTTGGACCTCATTATTTCTGCCTTCTAACTTTTTGTTCTGCCTTTCATCTTGTCTCCTTCAGATCCATCCTCCACAGAGCTATCAGAGTGATCAGTCTAAAATATACATTTGGTATGCTTTTCTTTGTTTCCTACGTGGGTCTTTTCCTCTTTCAATTTTTGAAGCATATATAATGAGACTTAAAGAGAGGAAAGAATAGGTGTAAGTTTAGATAAATTTTATGAAAGTGGTATTAGAGGATTGAGGGAATTCCCTTTTGATGGCTTTTATTAATCTCTGTGAGATTTAAGACAGTACCTTCTCAGTTCAGGACACAGAAGGTACTGGGGTAGGGGATTACTGACTGTATTTAAATTTTTTTTTTTTTTAAAGATTTTATTTATTT